GTGTCACTGAGGGGAGGGGGTGGGGACCCTGTGACAGTGTCACTGAGGGGAGAGGGTGGGGACCCTGTGACGGTGTGACTGAGGGGAGAGGGTGGGGTGAGGACCCTCATAGAGAAGCGAGAGGCTGGCAGCTGATCTAAGGGGGATTCTATGACTCTGACACGAGCAAGAATAAGATTTTTCTAGTAATAAGGGTAAAGAAGACACAATGATCCATTTCTATTCAGTTAAGGTATGTCTGGGAAGCTCAGGCCTGTGATTTGCACATTGTGCACTTAGCACCCGTTGGTGGTCTGGATGACTCTGTGCAGGAGATGCCTGCGGCTGGAATAACCGCTCCCTCCCCCCCTCCTCCCCTCCCCCCCCTCCGGGTTATAGAGTGGGAGCAGTTATTGGGGGAACCTCAGGGCATTGCCCAGGCCGAGGGGTTTCAGGATGGAGTCACCCTACAGCTTAAGGACGTGCGGGTAGAGGGGCAATGCCAGGCAGAAGAGGGCACCAGGCACAAAATGAGAGAATCCACTGACGGACTGTATTTCAGCCTCAGAGAACAGAGAGAGAAGGTGCTGGTTGCTCCGGAGTCCTGCCTGGAGCAGAGTCCTCAGCACTGCGGGTGCTCCAGCTGCCTGGGTGAGGGTACGGGTGTGAGGAAGGGTGTAGGGGATTAGTTAGTGAGGGGGGTAGTTCAGCAGCAGTAAACATGACTCCAGGATAGTAAGCCTCCTGGGTATCAGGGTTAAGGAGGTCACAGTTTGGCTGCAGAGCATTCTGACAGGCGAGGGCGACCTGCCAGAGGTGATAGTTCCATGACAGAGAAATGAGGTCCTGGAATCAGCCTTTTGGGAGTTAGGTGGAAATCGAAATGCAGGATTTGAAAGGTAACAGTCTGTGGATTACTCTCAGTGCCATGCAACAGCGAATGTAGGAATGGGAGGACAGAGGTGAATGAGTGGCTGGTGCAGGACAGACCACTTTAGATTCCTGGGACATTGGGACTGTTTCTGGGGGAGGAGGGAACTGTACAAGTTACATCTGAACAAGAACATGACTAACATCCTTGTGGAAAGGTTGGCAAATGCTGCTGGGGATGTTTAAGCTGCATTGGTAAGGACATGGAATCCTGACGGCAGTGAGGCTGAGATGGAGTTCAAAGTTAAAACACAAATAAATGAGTCTGGAAGGCAGTAGATGTAGATAAAGAAGTGAGTTTAACAAGGATACATGGAATATATTTTAATACAAGGAGCCTGAGGAATAAGACAATGAGCTGAGGGCACGGATAGGTATGTGGGATTATAATACTAGAGCTATGTTCAAGACTTGGCAGAAAGATGGGCAGACTGGCAGCTGAACCTTCCTGGTATTCCTGGGTATTCAGACTTGGTACAGAGGAGATTAGAAGACAGAGATGTGTTGTAATATTGATCGAGGAATCAATGCTAGCTGTGAGGAGGGAGGACATTTTGCACAGATCATTGGACGGGGCCTTATGGGTAAAAGTGAAACCACAAAAGGGGTAAACATGCTGTTGGGTGTGTACTACAGCCCCCCACCCAGTCAGGGAGAGATACAGGATTACATTTATAACCACATTTCAGAGACGTGTGAGAGTAACAAGGCAGTAATAGAAAGGGATTCCAACTCTCAAATATTAATTGGGATAGGTTCAGTGTGCAAGGCAGGGAGGGAACAACATTGTCCCATTATTAAACAGGGGAGGAAGGGATAGTCCAGGAAATTCCAGACCATTCATTCTAACCTTGATGGTGGAGAAGTTATCAGACAGAATTGTGAGGGACAGAATGTGTCTACATTTGGAGAGAGCTGGATTAATCAGGGAGGGTCAGCGTGGGGTCATTAAGAGAAGGACATGTTTGACAAATTTGACGGTATTTGTTGAGGAGGTAAACAGGAGGGTTAATGAGGGGAATACATTTGATGTGTCTACATGGGCTTTAGTGAGGCTTTTGATAAGGACCCTGGCAGCAGACTGATGAAGAAAGTATGAGCCAATGGGAAGCAAGACAACGTGGTACATTGGATCCAAAATTGGCTGAGGGGCAGAAAGCAGAGGATGATGGGATAGGGAGGTTTCTGTGACTGGGAATCTGTTTCCTGTGGGGTTCCACATGGCTTGGTGCTGGGGCCCTCGCTGTGTGTGGTGTATATTAATGATGTGGAATTTAATGTACGGCATGGTGAAGAAATTCACAAATGACATGAAAATCAGTCAGGAGGAGGCTAATGGTAAGCTGCAGGAGGATATCCACAGACAACAAGGTGCAGGGCTGGATGAACACAGCAGGCCAAGCAGCATCATAGGGGCAGAGAGGCTGACGTTTCAGGCCTAGACCCTTCATCAGAAAAGGGGGAGGGGAAGGGGGTTTTGAAATAAATAGGGAGAGAGTGGGAGGCGGATAGAAGAGGGATAGAGGAGAGGATAGGTGGAGAGGAAACAAACAGGTCGAAGAGGCGGGGATGGAGCCAGTAAAGGTGAGTGTAGGTAGGGAGTTAGGAAGGGGATAGGTCAGTCCAGGGAGGACGGACAGGTCAAGGGGGCGGGATGAGGTTGGTCGGTAGGAGATGGAGGTGCGGCTTGAGGTGGGAGGAGGGGATAGGTGGGAGGAAGAACAGGTTAGGGAGGCAGGGACG